TACATTCTTTCTTGGTTTATGCCAGTTGCAAAATTGATAGAAAAAGCACATCCGGAGGGTGCCATTTGCTTGGTAGATCACTAGTGTCTAGACCTCCAAAAAGCAAAATAGTGTAGCATTATCCATCGCCGACGCGGAGTACATTGCCGCGGGTTCTTGTTGTGCATAAATTCTTTACATGAAGCAAACTCTTATAGACTATGGTGTAGTTCTAGATAAGTACCTCTCTTGTGTGACAATGAGAGCACGGTAAAGCTTGCTCATAACCCGGTTCAACACTCTCGCACTAAGCACATAGATATCTGCCATCATTTTCTTAGAGATTATGTTGCTAAAATTGATATATCACTAGAAGGTGTAAGGACCGAGGATCAATTGGCGGATATCTTCACTAAACCGCTGGATGAGGCTATGTTTTGTCGGTTGAGGAGTGAGCTCAATGTGCTTGACCTTAGTAACTTCAATAAAAAATGAGCTTGTGTTGTCCCTTGCATTGCATTGTAATATACAGCATGTTTAATTTTTAGTAATGCACTTAGTGCTTGTCTAACATAGTTAAGATAACCGCCAAAAAGTTTGTGAAAAAGCTTAACCTTGGATCAAACTTGACAAGCAACTAGATTTACTTTCTTGTATTGCATTGCATATGCATGTGTGTTGCTTTGTTGGTTCTTTTCGATTATCTTTTGAGAATCCACTGTGTTCGTCCACAAATAGAGAGAGCATTTGAAGCTCCCAATGGTTGATTTCTCTATTTGTGTGGCCACATATTGCTCCTCGCCCTTTTATTGCCTATTTTCCTAAAAAGAATTATAGCCGAAGGCAAATTATTTTAAAAAAAAATTGAGGGTTTGAGAGAAGTCTTTCATATCAGTCCTAATTTGTGTTTCTTTTTGGTTTTATTGAAGTTGGGACTCGATTGGGAAAAAGCGGCGCGCTGGATCGAAGCAAAACAACAGTTGAAGAGTGACTGGATGTGGCACCGGACTCTGCTACAGAGCATCCGGTCAGCACTTCTAAGGAACTGCTGCTGAAGGAGGACCAGACGTTGAACAGTGTTTGCCCAGCATCTAGTGTGACGTGCCTCCGCGTCCGGTCATGTGCGTGTTGATTCTCGAGAACGATCGGACTTTGTGGCACGTCCGATCACGTGTCATCGGACGTGTCCGATCGCCATTTGGGCGTTTCTGGACCTCTCTATACTCGATCGGACTCTGGTTTGCTGTGTCCAGTCATTTTCACCGGCGCGTCCGGTCGCTTCAACTCATGTGGATTAGATCCATTTCTTCTATAACTGTCACGAGGGGCCCTCATTTATACCACCGAGCTTGCGCCATACTTCCCTTGCCGACGCGCCGCCCTCACATCTCCACCGTCGCGCCCATGCTCTCAGCACTGGCGCCCTTCTCGCACTCCTAGTCTTGCTCTCGCTGTGCCTCATCATGCCCGCCCAGTGCTCACTGCCACCACCAGAGTTTCCTCCTCGCCTCGACTCATCGGTGTCTCGGCTCCCTCTGGCCAGCTACCATTCCTCTAGGTGCTCCACCTTGATTCATGGTGCCCCTGCGTTTGTTAGTGACTTACCTTTTTACATGGATTCTTCTTGTTCTAAGGTAGTAAGCCAAATTCATTCTATTCGTACCTCACTGCGTGCTTCTGATTAGGATCTCGCTCATCTCTAGAATATAATGTGATGCTTATATGTATTCCATCTATTTCTATCCATGCAACAAGACGATTCTTTTGAGGTTACTTAGCAGCTGCTAGTGGCAGTTGAACCTAGGGCCAAGCCCGTGAGTATGGAACAGAGGCCAAGCCTCTTGAGTGTCGGTGGTTCTTGTCAGCTTCAAAGATGGCACGTTGCAAGAATGTTAGGGGTGGTCCCGGCAATGAGGATCCAAGGCCTCCGCCTCGCATGACTGCTCAGCAAAAAGGAAAGGCGAAAAAGACTACAAAGAAGAAGTGCAAGTTCGATGATGTTGAGGCAGAGAGGGTAGCAGCAGTGGCAGCCACCACAGAGCGTGCCGAGAGAGTTGGATCTGGCAGTGGCATTAGCATAGGCGATCAATTGTCACCAGCTCAGAGGGCCATCGTCGAGAAGATTAAGGCTAGTCTTGGTAGTCCACCTAGGACTATCATGCTTGGAGGACGGTGTGTCTCTTTAGAGGACGCTATAGAGGTCTCTCGTGTAGAGGAGAGTCAGACTCAGGGGGTGACTAAGCAGTAGACACAGTCAGTAGAGCAGACAGAGGACACTCAACAGGTAGAGCATGTTGGGGAGGCCGAGCAGGCAGCACAGCCATAGCTTCGACGCTCTAGTTGCACATGCACTCAGGTGTCACCGAGGCCTCAGACACAAAGGCGGGGCTCTCGTCCACCTCCTAGACCACATGGTCCGCCTCCCGTGGTACACCTTGACCTGAGGGCAGGCACAGCCAGATAGGTGCAGCAGCTACGGTTCGTATTGTTTGAGGATTGGTTTCCGCCAAGGCGGGATGAGCGTGCCTTAGAGCACTTCTACACTGTGTTGCAGGATGACTTCTATAGTGCATATCTCAACAGCGGTGTTGCCTTTAGATCTCAGCGGGTCTGGTCCATAGAGTCTCTAGTTGCAGCTACAGGCGAGCAGATTAGTTCTCACCTTTCTTATCTGTCAGGCTTGTCATATCTCCTTGGACAGACTGGTCGGTATGTTTCATCTTGGGTCTGTGAGTTCTACTCCTCGTGGATTGACCCGAGTCACAGGTTTATTCACTTTGCTTTTTGAGGGCATGACTATAGGCTCTAGAGCTCGAGGGTCAGACAGATATTGAGGATTTACCTAAATAAATAAATGGAGGAAAAAAACGAAGTGGCTTTACCTAAATCATTTATAGCTATGATACATTCATGTAGTAGGCTCTGTTCTTCTGCCATTATAAGACGGCTTATCAGCCATGGTACAGTATTTTTCTCTCCCAACAAATCAGCCGTATAAATCAGCACAAGCGGCTTATAGACCAGCCGAACAGAGCCTCATAAAGGCTGAAAAAAGTTGAGGAATTCAATTATACTTTGTCCGATTGCAAATATGTAGTTTTAGGGTTCCTATTAAACAATGTTATTTTAACTTTGATCATTGGTACATAAATAGTTACATAAATTGACAATGTGGATTTGATATTCCTAAATTCATCATGAAAAATTACTTTCATATCAGATTTCCCATTGATATTACTAGCAGAAGTCTCATCTTGTAGATTGGGGTTGGAGCACTTAACAAATACCTCTTACCCTTAGTACTCCGTTCATTCCAAATTATAAACTGGTTTGGCTTTTCTAAGCACGTAGTTTTTGCTATGCACTTTAGATATACATTATGCCTAAATACATAATAAAAGTAATGTATCTGGAAATGTCAAAACATCTTATAATTTGAAACAGAGCGATTATAAATATGTTTTGGCACCTTGTTTTTATAGCTCTGTTCGCTTCGCTGGAAAAAAAAAAACCAAAACACTATTCCGACTGATTTGTTGTGAGAGAAAAATATTGTTCCAGCTAAAAAAACTAAAAAGTACGGATTATAAAAGAGACGAACAGGACCATAGTCGTTTGTGTTGCTGCTACAACTGCTACCTCTAACAGATCACTGTGTTGACAGCCAGCTGCTGCTGCTTTAGCAAGCTGTCGAACAGGCCTCTCACAGATCACTTAGATATATACGAAAGCATTTTTCGTAATGAATGTACTCATGACAACGCATATTATCACGCTATCAAAGTTTGACCAGCAAGAGTCTATGGACTTACATTCTGAATTCAGGAGTATCCTCGTTATGTAGTTTTTTCTTTCTTAATGAAACTATTATGCATCTTTCATGGACAGGCAGCCCAAACGGAAACCGGAAAAGAATTTGCGGCGTGGATCGGAAGGCTTTGTTCGGCTGGCTAAAAAATGACTGATATTGAATTATTGTGAAAGAAAAAAATAATAATGTTATTTCGTTGAAAATGTATGGCTGGTAGCTTGGAGAGAGATCCAGCGCGTGGTGTTGGATCATTTCGGAATCTGAGACCGGTCTTGCAGAGTTCCAGTGTCATGTCATGTGCGAGTTGTATTACCGCCAGAACCAAGTAGAGCAGACAGATCTAGCGATCAATCCCAATCCCAATCGCCCCCATTACTCCTCCAGTTGCAACTTCACATGGCGATGCGCCAATGTGTTGTTACACCAGAGTACCAGACCTGGCTCCCGAGCATCACACGCGTGCGATCGAGAGGTCGTCTCGCTCGCCACGCACTGTTCCATTTCCTTGTCCGTTCGGAGCCCCAATTTCGCGCGTATCAATCCTACTCAAGTACTGCAGCGCAGGGCAGTGCAACGCGGACGGCCTGTGCTGTGGCGGGGTCGTCTTCGTCTTCCTCCTCTTGGCATCATCTTCTTCTCCGTGCTACAGTGTGCACCGGACAAGGGCAAGGCTGCGTCGCTGACCCCCGCGCCCTTGCCCTGACGCAGACATTAATGTCACTTACACCCGGTTTTCAATGCGTCCACCCACGCACTCTGATGACTCCACAAGATACTCCTCCCTCCTCCATGGCTACTGCTACGTTGGTAGTACTAATAAAGAAAACGTGTCAGCGGCGAGGGTCCGGCTCCACCAGCTCAGAGAGAGAGGGACGAAGGAGAGATGAGATGAGAGAGAGAGAGAGAGAAGAGCCGGGGACGGGAAGCGTGTGCGTGTGTGCGCGCGCTGCGCTGTGAGCACTGTCTGGTGCTGCGGCCAAGCAAGAGGACATGCATGTGAAGCCCCCCCAATAATTCCTCTCCTCACCGACACACACAGGCCCCCGACCCGACGGCCAGCCGCCAGCTGCTGCGCCTTTGTTCCCATGCGCCGCAACAAGCCTACCTCACCTCTCACTTGCTCACGCCACCACCGAGCCCCTTCCTGGCCTCTCTCTCTCCTCTCCCTCCTGTGAGTGAGCTGGAGACGAGCTAGCTAGCCGAGCGAGTGATGGCATGGGGAGGTTGCACTGCTGCGGCAGCTGCTCTCCTGCTGCTGCTCCTCCTCGCCGCAGCAGCAGGCGGTAATGGCGGCGTGCATTGCCTTCACCTTGACGCGGGGTGGCGGCACCGGCACCACCTGAGCAGGAGAGCCTTGCAGGGGAGGCAGAGGCACCACCTGAGGTCAAGTAAGTTCTTTCCCTCCTGATCCGTTCCGTCTCCCTGGCCCGTTTCTTGGTTTGGTTTCTCCGGTGTTCTTGGATGGAAGCAGAGGAATCAATGGCCGACTTGGGGTTGGGGCCTTGTGGGGACACCAGAAAAGAACGATTCGGCCAGTCCGTCCCAATGCACATGCTTCTGCCAGCAGCAATGGCCATCTGCCTCTGTTCATAATCATAGATTGTTTTCTGTTCTTGGTGAAGCGTTGCCGGCTCTGTTCACTTCCATTCTGCAAATGTATTGGATTTGGAAAGTCTGCAAATGCTATGGGAGAGAAAAAAAAAAGAGCTTATTTGGAAAGCGGCAATCAGTAAGAGCGAGCGAGCTCGTCTTGCCATGGAAATGGTGGGTGGGACTGCACCAGGCGAGGAATGGCAATGCGATTTCCATGGTGTTTTTTCAGTTTTCGGGGTCAGGGCTCTGCTGCCACTGCCAGAAGTAGCACGTCCCAAGTACTTTTTAATGTGGGTGGACTACATAAACAACTATAAGAATAGTAAATTACTAACCGAGTGTTCGGCCGATGATAAAGACAGTGGTGCTGATTTGTATGATACATGCCTTATAAGCCAGCAAATAAGCTGGCTGAAACGACCAGCCGAACACTTCCATGTGGTAGGTGGTGGTGACACCGTCACAGATTTCTCAGCGTCCCACTCCCTCCCATGACTTCATCTCATCTCATCTCACGGTGTGTGTCCACTGTCGGTTTTGTTTGCGATGTTCAGGAGCCGTGGACGGCGCCACGGTGCTCGAGCTGAGGCACCACAGCTTCAGCACCGCGCCGGCCAGAAGCAGGAAGGAGGAGGTCGACGGTCTCCTGTCCACCGACGCCGCGCGCGTCTCGTCGCTGCAACGGCGCATCGACGGCTACAGGCTGATGATCACCTCGTCGACCGCGGCGGCGGTGGCGGTGACCGCGTCCAAGGCGCAGGTGCCCGTCACCTCGGGCGCGAAGCTCCGGACGCTCAACTACGTGACCACCGTCGGCCTGGGTGGCGGCGAGGCGACGGTGATCGTGGACACGGCCAGCGAGCTGACCTGGGTGCAGTGCGCGCCGTGCGAGTCGTGCCACGACCAGCAGGGCCCGCTCTTCGACCCGTCCTCGTCGCCGTCCTACGCCGCGGTGCCGTGCAACTCCTCCTCCTGCGACGCGCTGCAGCTGGCCACGGGCGGTGTGTCTGGCGCCGCGGCGTGCGGCGGCGGCGCCGACGGCGGCCAGGGCCAGGACCAGCAGCAGCCGCCGCCGGCCTGCAGCTACACGCTCAGCTACCGCGACGGCTCCTACTCCCGCGGCGTCCTGGCGCACGACAGGCTCAGCCTGGCCGGGGAGGTCATCGACGGCTTCGTGTTCGGCTGCGGCACCAGCAACCAGGGCCCGCCGTTCGGCGGCACGTCTGGCCTCATGGGGCTCGGCCGGAGCCAGCTCTCGCTCGTCTCCCAGACTATGGACCAGTTCGGCGGCGTCTTCTCCTACTGCCTCCCGCTCAAGGAGTCCGACTCGTCGGGGTCGCTGGTCCTCGGCGACGACTCGTCGGTGTACCGGAACTCGACCCCGATCGTGTACGCCTCCATGGTGTCCGATCCGCTCCAAGGGCCCTTCTACTTCGTGAACCTGACCGGGATCACGGTCGGCGGTCAGGAGGTGGAATCTTCAGGCTTCTCGGCCGCCGCCGCCGGCGGCAACAAGGCTATCATCGACTCCGGCACCGTGATCACCAGCCTCGTGCCGTCGATCTACAACGCCGTCAAGGCCGAGTTCCTGAGCCAGTTCGCGGAGTACCCGCAGGCTCCAGGGTTCTCCATCCTCGACACTTGCTTCAACATGACCGGGCTCAGAGAGGTCCAGGTGCCCAGCCTGAAGCTCGTGTTCGACGGCGGCGTGGAGGTGGAGGTGGACTCCGGTGGCGTGCTCTACTTCGTCAGCAGCGACTCCTCCCAGGTGTGCCTCGCCATGGCCGCCCTGAAATCCGAGTACGAGACCAACATCATCGGCAACTACCAGCAGAAGAACTTGAGGGTCATCTTTGACACCTCGGGGTCGCAGGTTGGTTTCGCACAGGAGACGTGTGGTTATATTTGACTTGACTAGGATGGGATGCACGGGGTAGCAGCCATGCATGGGCTATATATGTGAATATCTTTATACTTGCAGATTTGTTTCTGAGATTACCTCTGGTGATTGGCAAATGGTAATACAGTGTTTAGTTGTTGGCAAATGAACAAGCACTCACGGTTGTTGTTTCTTCTGTCTTCCTGCCATTTCTCCGTGCTTCATCCGAGGTCAATTTGCATTGCAGGGAACCAGTGGGATTGTGCGTTTATTTTTATCTGATCTGTAGACAATACGATTGAGCAATTGGCAAGTGAACCCTGCCGCAGAACGTCCATGCAACCTGATGCCACTGCTAGTGCCACAAAAGAGATTAATGAAACAGATAGAGATTGTGAGAACTCCAATTTCCATCTGTTTTATTTATGAATTATAAGTGTACAAGGCACGTCGACGGCCACATGAGAGATGGAGGCAGTATTATAAAGTTTTTCTCACGACTGAAAAGGAGATCAGGTGGTCATGCCGGTCCTTCAGTGACCAGAATTCAGACGTGGAGGACGGAGGGCCTCCACGGCCTTTCCATTTGAAGACACCCGCAAGAAAACAGCACACAGGGAATAATATACAAGCACTGTGGACGAATGTGTTGCTATGCTACAGAATACAGATCATGTCATGTGGCACGATGGTTATCATCGGTACGGCAAAATAAGATAAGAAAATCTAGTGTCACCACGGTGAATCTTCAATCTCAATCCACTACCCCCTGCCAATCGGAGTACGAACAATACTGATGATACGAACTCTAGCAGAAGAATATTACCATAGTCATAGAAAATACTACCTCGGTTAACTGGAACTAAAACAGACGCACAATCCGTGAAGAAGAAAAACAAAATCAACGTCAAAAAAAGAAGAAAAACAAAAACTAGATTATACAAGAAGAAAAAGAAGACGAGTACAATCACGGACGCACAATCCGTGAAGCCAGTGCAGCACAGTCGAAAACCATTTTTTTTTTCGAAAACCTGCAGCACAGTCGGTAAGCATAACGAGCTCACCAGACCTGACAGTGTCCCCCTGACCCGCGTGCTGGAGCCGCCCTTTCGGTGGGTGGGCAGCGGACAGCGTTAGCGACCAAGGAACAGGCTGTGTGTGAACCAGGCCAGAACTCCAGTCCAGTACCAAAGTAGTGTACCAGCGGTCAGCACCAAGTTCCCCACCACCCACCATAATTGATAACGCTGGTATGGTATTAGGAGTAGTATTTTCCAAAGGGGTTGGTTATGTGTGCTCGACTGGCTGACAGACCGGAGGGCACGACCGCAGAAGGTTTGCCACATGCAGGAATAGTGCCATTGGGTTATGGTGGTCAGGGAAGTGTCAGTCATGTAAGCAGGCTGAGGCTGATGGGCAGTGCAGTGCTCCCATGTTTGACTTTGACCAGATCCTACCAACTGATTTCGAGGATTAGACTCAGCCACACTTCACATTATTTATGCGTGCAAATGAACTGGCTACCTCAATGATCCGAGGAAAACACATGGCGTCCAAGTAATCCATTGGAAATTTCATCGGGATTGAGTTCGTAAACCCAATCTGCATGCAGCACTCACAAGTCACAACAGTGCTAGGCTTTAGATACGAGTCAGTTGAGTGTCCCAGAAACAAAAAATATTTGCAATCCTCACAATCAGCTCTAACTAGTGCCGCATCGGGGTAAAAAAAATTAAGTAAACACAAAATAGAGGATACGACCTTTTATGTTGCACATGCATATTGGGGTACAAAACATTTTTGCCTAACGAGCTCGTGCAGATCGCGGACGATTTTGAACACAGCATCCGGCCGTGCTAGTTTGAGGGCATTCTGGGACATTACTCTGAGTTCGTCTGACCTTGGGCCAAACCAGTCGGCAACTATCTTCGCAATCTGTTCTGGAGATTTCGAGAACTTTCCACATCCATTTTCAACAACGTACGGAACATTGCCAGCTTCCTGTTTAAGTTAAGAGACCATTTTAGAATGAAATGTATATCATGCTTAGCATAAGACGAGACCATTTTAGAATGAAATGTATATCATGCTTAGCATAAGACTAATACTCATGTAATGACATTAGTTTAATGCTGTTAAGTATACAGAGAGCCTCGTGGGCCATATACGGGGCTAATAGTAGATGGGCCTTCAATATTCTAGGTTGCTAGTACACTTGTCTCTTGACATGAGAAGGCATCTCATTGAAGGTGAACAACAAAAAATGGCCTTCGATACATTCCGATATCAGTGCCATGTTGAAGGGCTTAAAAAGTTGTTTTGAGGGTAAAAAGAAGGAATAACAACTACCAGAATTTCAAAAACAGGTGTTCCATTTGACAAGCTTTGAATTTCAGATTTTTAGAATTTGATGATTGGCAACTTGGATCATGTGTAAGAAGGAAAACTACATTTATTTCGCCTAAAAATAAGACCACTGTTATTTAGATCCTGAATGAGCCATTTTGAAGAAAATCAGCTTAGTCAATTTGACTGGTTCTCAACTGAACAGTGACTGTTTTTGCTAGTTCCTTGAAGTGCCATCCTAAATAGTGACAAGTAACCCTGTTCATGGTTTGGTGCCAAACAATCCAACCCATGAAACCAGCCTACCGGCTCTACAGTTTCCATACAGGTTGATCTAGACCGTGGTTTGGACCAGCTCACACCCTGGGCGCTTTTTCACCGAAAACCGAACACCGAACCGTACCGAAACCGAACCGAATAGTCGGTTTTTCTGTTTCGGTTTCCAGTTCTGTGAAGTTCGGTGTTTGGCTTCGGCTTCGGTTTCTATGCCATACCGAACCGAAGTACCGAGAAACCGAGAAACTCTCGTAAGGCAAGCTAAGGCCGTGAGCGCTGAGCCGCTGAGCGCTGAGCGCCAGCCCACCAGGCACCGGCCCACTGCCCACCAGCCCACCACCGCTAGTCCACCACGGCACCCCGCACCCGCACCACTTCACTTCCCCGCATCGAATCGAGTCGCACCGCACGTCCGCACGCAGAGCCTCGCACTCTCGCTCCTAACCCTAACCCTTCGGAGGCGCGGCAGGCGGCTGGCGGCGCACCCAGCAGGCCAGGGCGCCAGGCGGCCAGCGGCGGCGGCGCCACCGTCGACCGTCGTCAAGCTCCTCAACCACGGCCGCAAGAACAGAGCAGTCCTCCAATGTAAGTCTTTAGTTCTTCTTGTTCTTGCTTAATGCCTAATAGATCCAGATGCCTGTTGGTTGCTTTATGACAATGCGAGTTGATTAGTTAGTTAGTTTGTACCCTGACTAAGTACCTAGATGGCTGGTTTTTGTTTTGATGTCTTGTAGATGGGGGACACTGAAGAAACAGTGGCGCATCTGAATGTTCAAGTGAATGAGAATGAAGTTGTAAATGGGGAGAATGACAAGCAGGATGAGCAGCAGCAGTCCAAGGATGGAGAGGAAGTGGGAGATGAGGAAAGCAAGAAAAGGAAGCCCATGGTTCCAAGATCAGATGTTTGGGAACACTTCAGCAAGATCAAACTTGATAATGGGGAGGAGAGAGCCAAGTGCAAGTACTGCGGCAAGCAACTCCGCTGTGACACAAAGTTAAATGGTACGTCCTCCATGAAGGCTCATTTGAAAATCTGCAAGAAGAATCCTCACAAACCTGTAGTAGATAATCAAGGTACTTTACAACTACAACCTAGCCCTAGCAATAGTAGTGTTGGTACTCTATCTACTTGGAAATTTGATCCTAAGGAGTTAAGGAGGAGTTTTGCTGAGATGATAATAGAAAATGAGCAACCTTTTGTGTTATCTGAACGTTCTGGCCCTAGAAAGTTTATGTCAAAAGCATGCCCACGTTTTGTTTTGCCATCTAGAAGAACAATCACTAGAGCCTGTGTGAAAGTGTTTGATGATGAGAGAGAAAAACTTAGGAAATTTTTGAAAGACAACTGTGAAAGAGTTAGCCTGATAACAGACACATGGACGGCTAAGAACAGTCATTATTACATGTGTGTTACAGCACATTTTATTGACAATGAGTGGAATTTGCACAAAAAATTATTGGTTTTTTCTTGGTTAAGGGCCATAGGGGGGAGGACATTGGAAAATCTTTAGAGAATTGCTTGGCTGACTGGGGAATTGAGAATGTTTTTACAATAGCAGTAGACAATGCTAGTGCAAACAACACTGCAATTAAGTACATGCAGAGGGTCCTGAATGAATCAAAAGGCTGCGTTGCTGAAGGAGAGTACCTTCATATGAGGTGTTTTGCACATATTATCAACCTGATAGTAGGTGATGGGCTGAAAGAATTTGATAGATCAATCGCTCGTGTTCGGGCTGCTGTTAAGTATGTTAGGAGTGGACCATCTAGGTTGGTAAAGTTTAAGAAAAGTGCCGAGTTAGCAAAGGTTCAGACCAAAGCATTTTTCAACCTAGACGTCTGCACTAGGTGGAACTCAACTTACCTGATGCTACAAACTGCACAAGAGTATGAAAAGGCCTTTGAAAGGTATAGTGATGAAGACCCATACTATAGTCTAGAGTTAGAGAGTGAGAAAGCACCAGGAGTTCCAATCAAATCAGATTGGGAAAAGGCAAGGAAAATGGCTCAATTTCTTAAATACTTCTATGAGCTGACCCTCCGTGTCTCTGCCACAAGTCGCCCAACATCTCACACATACTTTAATGAGATTGCTGATGTTTTGGTTCTGCTGAGACAATGGTGTCACAGTGAAGATACATTATGTAAGGAAATGGGCCAAAAAATGTTAGTGAAGTATTACAAATATTGGGGAGAGAAGTATGGAGAAAGGCCGGGGGATAGAGAGAAGAGAGGAGAGAAAGACAAGGGGGATCAATTGTTTAACATTGTTATTTTTTTGTGTTGGTATTGATCCTCGGTTCAAACTTTCTAACTATGTCAAGATGGCAACTATGGTAATGTTTGGTGATGAAATAGGTCAGAAACTGTGGGCAACAGTCAACACTTATTTTCATGCTTTGTTTGAGGAGTACAGAGAACTATATGCTCCATCTCCAAGTGACAAGGTGCCTGCTGAAACTCAAGAAACACCAGACTTTTGTTCTGGGTTGATGAGCTCCATAATTGCACAACAGATGAGCAATAAGGGGAGTGCCAATACCACTGTGAAGTCTGAACTAGACAAGTACCTTTCAGAAGATAATGAGGAGCTTAGTAAAAGTTTTGACATTATGAAATGGTGGAAGAACAATGCTACTAGATTCCCCATAATGTCTCGTATGGCCCGTGATCTTCTGGCAATTCGTATCTCAACAGTAGCCTCTGAGTCAGCCTTCAGTTCAGGTGGAAGAACACTTGATGATTTTAGGACATCACTCACACCAACAATGGTTGAGCGGCTCGTTTGTACAAATGATTGGCTTCGTGGAAACAACTACATCAGTGTTGAAGAGGACACAGAAGCATTGGCCAAGCTTGAGGAAGGTAAATTTTAATGCTAAGTCTAAGTTGTTATCATTTCTATTGTTTATCTTGATAGCTTATTGCAGTAACATGACTACACTGAGTACTAACTAAAACATAATCACTTATTGTAGAAATTGGTGCCCTGGCCATTTCTAAGGATAGCACTACTGCTACTGCATCTTGATAATGGTAAGTTGGTTAGCTGGACGCCTGGACACATCCTGGTGGCGCCATGGAGCATTGTTCTCTTGCTGTTGTTGATGCCTGCTGGCTGGAACCTGTTTTTTTTCCTGTTGTTTATCAAAACTGATGGAGTACTGTGGCTTATTATCAAGAATGAACTGCAAATTTGTAATATTTGATTTGAGCATTGAATTGTTAAGTTTGTAACAGTCTTGAGTCTTCAAATAATATACTGTGCTGTGCAAGTTTGTACTGTGCTGTGCTGTCAGTTCTAAATCCTGTCTGATGTTTTCTTGCATCGGTTTATTCGGTTTTAACCGAAAAACCGAACTAAAAAAACGAACCGAAATTGGTCGGTTTTTGGAATTTTAGCAAACCGATAAAGGGTCATTTTCTGGAAACCGAAATTTTGGAAAACCGAAGAAACCGAACGCCCAGGCTGAGGACCAGCCAACCAGTGTACAAGCAGCCCTGTTCATGGTTTGGTCGCAACCAATCCAACCCGTGAAACCAACCTGTCAAAACCGGCTCTACAGTTTCCATACGGATTAGCTAGACTGCGGTTTGGACCAGCCAGCCCGTCTAGCAAAGCCAAATTGCGGAGATCATCAGCAACCGGCAGCCCTAAAAAAAATGAACCACCGGAACTGCGGCAGCCACAGCCGTAGTCGATTGTGTGAGTAGCATGAGTTATGGTGAAGCTGGGCAAATTGCCATGGCTCCACCTCCAACAGGGGCCACCCTTAACGCACTATTCTTGCCAGTGACTGTACAGAATCAATGCCACTGAGAACCCCCACCGGCAGCATCTCCTCAAGCGTGCTGCTATGAACCTTAGTTCATATCGAGGATAGGGAGGATAACCATTGCCAAGAGCAAGGACAGGCAAAGTCTGCGTGGAGGGAGACTAGAATATTTGGGGGTAACTAGATTGTTTGTTGTTCATTGCTTGATCCAATCTCAACTGGTTACAGGGTATAAATAGAGGAGCTCAGCCCCTAGGCGCCCAGCCCTGGCTCCTTGTTTCTCTCCCCAACATTAACTCAAATCTCTCATTAACTCTAATCTATTCCCCAGACTCTAATTGCCATTGATTACAGCCGGCACCCCCTGGGATACCGTCCTGGCTGCATGCAGCCGGTCCCCGGCTGCCCCACATGACATCTCTCCCCCCCTTGACGAGCAGCTCATCCTCGAGCTGGAAGCTTGGATAGGGCAGTCGATGAAGCTGACAACGTCCTCCAGGATCCCATGGGAAGAGCCCAACAGCTAGCTTCAGCAGTATGCTGGGCCTGTCCAGCGACACCAAAACAGGTGACAGAACAGAGGAGACGGCTGGTGCTGGTGGCGGTGCCATATCCCACTCATCAAGCCTGGAGGATTTTGGTGAACGTCTGCCGCTTGTTGGCACAACCATACCCGTCGTGGCGCCGACTGGACAGTGTGTGTTGTTGCAACACCTAATGATGCGGTGGATGGGATCGTTGAAGGCGCAGGGTTGATCGCTGTCCGCATCTTCCTTGTGGTGTGCCTTACCAGGAACCCTCTTGCTGCCGCCTGTAGCCACACTGCTGCTTAGAGTTCATGCTCTGACTTCTCCAAGTGAGCACGGTAGCGGTTGAACATCACGACGAAGCGATCCATCTCCTCTGCGAGATGGCGAGTCCCCTCAATGAGGGCAGTGATTGGCTCATCACTTGATGGTAATGGATGACCGACAGCAGAAGCCATAGGAAAGGATCCCTGACTCATGACATGGAGGCGGCGGAAGTCGTTGGTGAGGCTGGGGCAGATGGCGTGGTGGCTGCTGGGTTTGGCGGCGGAGCAGAGGTGGAAGAGGAGCGCCTGGAAGCCGATACCAGATGTTATGAACCTTAGTTCATATCGGGAATAGGGAGGATAAGCATCGTCAAGAGAAAGGCCGGGCAAAGTAGGCGTGGAGGGAGACTAGAATATTTGGGGGTAACTAGATTGTTTGTTGTTCATTGCTTGATCCAATCTCAACTGGTTACAGGGTATAAATAGAGGAGCTCAGCCCCTAGGTGTCCAGCCCTGGCTCCTTGTTTCTCTCCCCAACATTAACTCAAATCTCTCATTAACTCTAATCTATTCCCCAGACTCTAATTGCCATTGATTACAGCCGGCACCCCCCTGGGATACCGTCCTGGCTGCATGCAGCCGGTCCCCGGCTGCCCCACATGACACATGCACTGGGTCGAACAGGCCCGTCTGAGTTGAGCTGTGGCCTGTGTTTCCACTGGCATTGCAACAGCACAGACTCTCATGCTGGTTGCCCTGAACTTTCGCTCCATGAGTGGTTCAATCACAAATTAGGGTAAGGGATTTGGTAAGATCAGAGAAAAATTTGCAGAAGTGCAACAAATCCTTGAACCATCCATAGTGCTGTGGTCTTCTGTTGTTCTTCCAAATTGCGGCAGTCTGCTTTGTCATGAGAGGAAGACGGGGAGACAGAGAAGGAAGATGGCGACAGTGTAGGAGGGGTCAAACTACATGGAGGCGGCGTACAGGCAGCGTTGGCAGCGCCAAGCATCTTTGTTTAGTTCATTAGGTGCCGGTGGATGTTGTTAGTGGCGTCACCACAGCCAGTTTACAGTCAAACTTGCACCTGATGGTTTGTTTTGGTTTCATTAACAAAACTGGCTAAAAGCGTGAGTGAACAGACCTAGTTATAAGGTATGAGTGTATCAGTGTAATTAAAGGATGAAATCAAGGGATGATAATCTTACATGGGCAAGTAAATTTTGGAGCTAAGCTTGAGCTCATGGTATATGGTAATATAAATCTATGTCAATACAACAATCTTCTATTTGTGTGATTTTTACTCACTAAAAAAGGGTGTACCCAGTGCAGAGAGCTCCCGCTCTGTGCGGGGTCTGGGGAAGGGTGTTAGTGATTTTTACTCACTACTCCTGGATATTTAACATTGAAATTGTCAAATAAGTCAATGATCCAGGGAATAATTTCAATGTTCTTCAGACAGCTCATATTTGAGGAGAGTGAGATGCAGCACCATGACAACTAATAATGGAATAGAACAGCCCCTACTGCCCTACACTGAGTTGCTAAAGAAAAATACCTTCCCCTGACCCACGTGCTAGAGCCGCCCTTTCGGGAGTGCACTGTGGACAGCGCTACCGACCAAGAAACAGGCTGTGAACCAGGTCAGAATCCAGTCCAGAGGCCAGAGGGAGCCCTGCCGCATCCGTATGTGCTCGGCTCAAACACGGCAAAACGATGCATAGCCTCCAGCTCAGGATTTTTTGAGATTTTTTGGACCAGCCAACCCATCTAGCAGAGCCAAACTGTGGTGATCATCGGCAACCAGCACCATGGCAGCTACATCTGTAGTTGATTGATTGAGTAGCATGACTGCATGAGTTATGGTGCAGATGGGGGCAACTTGCCATGGCTCCACCTCCGGCAGGGCCACCCTCAACGCACTATTCTCGCCAGCGATAGTACAAAATCGATGTCGCTGACTTCCCCACACACACACACACCCACACACCCACCCACCAACCAATGGCATATCTCCTCAAGTGTGTGTTGAGTGGAACAAGCCCTTTGGAGTCAAGCTGGGGCCTGTGCTTCTTCCACCGTGGCAGTTGCAGCAGCACCGATGCTCTCATGCTGGTTGCCCTGAACTCTTGCTCCATGAGTGGTTCAATCACAAATTAGGGTAAGGGATGGGGTAAGAACAGATAGAAAATTGGCGGAAGTGGAAGAAATCCTTGAACCATCCATAGTGCTCCTTCTAGGACCGCTTGTGCCTCTGGCAGTCTTCTGTTGATCTTCCAAATTGTGGCATTCTGATTGGTCATGAGGAAGACAGGGAGACAGAGAAGGAAGATGGCGAGTGTAGGAAGGGTCAAAGTGTCAAAGTACATGGAGGCGGCGTACGGGCAGCGTTGGCAGCACCAATCATCTTCGTCAGGTTCAATAGGTGTTGTTAGCAGCAGCATCGCATCCGGTTTACAGTCAAAACGGGCACCTGATGGTTTGTTTTGGTTTCATTAACAAGACCAGCTAAAAGCGTGAGTGAACAGGCCTAGTTGCAAGGTATGAGTATCAGTGCAATTAACAGTTGCTTATACCTTTTGACTTTTGTATAGGTTATACTGAGTGAACCACAAAGATGAAGTCAAAGGTATGATAATCTTACATAGACAAGTAAATTTTGGATACGTAAACATCTAAACAAACCTAGCCATGATTTAGAGCTAAGCTTGAGCTCATGGTATATAGTATATAAATCTATGACAGTACAACAATCTTCTATTTGTGTGGCTTTTACTGACTGCGTCTCCTATATATTTAACAAAGAAATGGTCAATGAGTCAATAATCCAGGGGTAATTTCAATGTTCTTCAGACAGATCATATTTGAGGAGAGCAAGATGCAGCACCATGAGAACTAATAATGGAATAAAACAGTCTCTACAATGAGTTGCTAAAGAAAAATACCTGTCCAGCAATATAACCATTTAGAATAATTGGTAAGCCACGGATCATCGCCTCTGCAATTGTACCAGGTCCTGCCTGAAGTTCAACAGAAATCATGTATCACAACATCACCACAAATTATGTACATGTATCACATATTCGAAAACAAGCTGCATGATTTGAACATGAGAGGCTAATGTAAAGCATACCTTTGTAATGATACAATCACAAGCACCCATACATTCTTCCATCTTTGTAACAAAGCCTTTCACCTATAATTTTTTTTAAAAAAAAACAAGGATTTATGAAGAAATCTGTATGTGCAAGAGGTGTGAAATATAAGAGCCGCTTTTAGTTAGAGACTTCTTTTTTAAGATATCCATACGATGTTATTGCTGCAGTATTTAGTCTCATGTATTCGAAGTTCAAAAATGCACAACTAAAAGCAGCCTCTCCGCAGTGGTGAGAGCTGTCTCACTGAGTCACCAGGTCGTGGGTTCGAAGCAGCCTCTCCGCAGATTTTGCGGGGGGGGAGGCTTGCCCTGGTTTTTCCCTTCCCCAGACCCCACTCATGTGGGAGCCTCCGGCACTGGGTCTGCCCTTTTTTTTTATTCGAAGTTCAAAAATGCACAACTGCTACTAGCCAAGAAACAATGTACCTTGGCTTAAGTTCATTTAAGCTATCTATGCAGTTGAAAGGGTTGAAGAAAAATTCTTTTGCTGAGGAAAAAGCAACATCAAGGAACTGGTAAGGCAGTTGTAATGTTAAACTTATTGGATATTACAAATCAGCTTCGAGGGAAGTACCTGAACTGGAACTTTCCAATTTATCGACTGCAATCAATTGGCCAGCTTCTTATTACGCCCAGAAATTACAAGTATTTGACCAGTGGGTTCCCCTAGGTTTTCATCATACAGAGAATCACCAAGCGCTTTAGCAGTGGCCTCAATAGGACCCATCCCTTCACCCCCACCCATTAATAAAACAGCAGGCAGATCTTCATCCATGCCTAACTCTCTTCGCAGTTCATCCTATTAAAAAGGTTAACAATTGATACTACAATCAGTAAGTTCTAGAAGACGGAAAAGATTCATAAAAATCAGTAGGACAATGATACACTGCAATTAGCTGAAGAAATTTTGTAGAATAGGTTTGACAAAAGAGGGTCGAACAGGGAGGCCATAGACTTTAATCTGTGAGGGCTTCAGACCAGCTTTTAGTGCTCTCTTTTCCACCTCAGTTGATGGACAGTAACATCTAGTGACAAGCTTATGGAACCTAAGGGGCAACAGTAGGATAACTATTTCATTGTAAGAGTGTATGTCTCACATTTTGATAAGAAACTACAAAGAAGCATTTGAGTTATGCAGAACACTGAGGCCAGCATACCATGTTGGGTGACAGGTGCTGAGATCCGTGATAACAGTTGTGAATGGGATCTTATCCAAGAGACCTTTGGATCTTAGAACTCGGAGGGGCACATGTTGCATTAAAGGGTGTACACTGATAATTACATCTGGTTGGTACTTCAGTAGACCTTTTGCAACCTCTCTGCATAAAGAAGTGGCAATTTCAGAGAGGCGGAGAGAGACAGAGCTAGCTGCAGAACAGTACAATTTGTAAGGAAATCATGGTCTACTTCCTATGCAGGATTTTGAGAATCCTACACACACCTGATGCTAGTCGTCACAAGCAGTCATAGGATTAAGGCCCTAGGATACAAATATAGTCTGGTATCTGGAATACAAAGTTGTTCATTGTTGTTCTTCGTGGTTATCTTTGTTCTTCAATCAGTACAAGATTTAGTTCATGATGGGCAATTACAGGTCAAACACTGCAGGCACATGAATATATTTTTGATTTTGACTCTGCTAATGTGGCAGGAAATAAGGGTGAAAGCCTCACTCAGATAAAAGAAAAATAAGGAAAGGAAGTATGAAAAACGATAAATAACAAATTTTCCTAATCTACATCACGTAGTGGTTATTCACTTATTCAGTGCTTGTTGTCTAAGCACTGAGGTAAGCAAAATTGTATGAGAACAGTGTATCTACAAATGTACAAGCCTAGTAATTCATGAAGGTGGCGAGAAAACTATGGAGACCCTTCCATAATGTAAAATAGAAATTGTGATATAGCCAGTAACCTTGCTATGAATGTGGATGTTGCAGCAAAATGAGGCTGATGGATTACACGTGGTGCAGTACCATAGTATGTCATCTTCCACAGGGGTCCATGTTTCACCAAAAAACTATAGCTCCTAGGCAGTTGATTAAATGGCCATGGAGTGTGGTCAGTCCACAGATCAGTGACAAATACCTGTAAGTGGAATATCAGTCATTGGTTCATTGTATATTTATGAACCAAATTAATGCAGATGACACTTGGCACCATAAGTCGAGAATACCAACTACCAAAATTCCCCCATTCTCCTATATATACAGCAATGACTAATAAAAAATATGTGTCACTTCATTACTGGCTATTTAACCATTCCAACATTAACAAGTCACTAGGCAATACCAATGAGCACCACCATAAGCAAACAAATGGGCATCCTTCTTCTCCAATGAAAGGTCTGCATCAGTACAGCATTATGCTAAAGCATCAAAAGAAGGTGGTTGCAAGGACAGACAGTATCATGGCAAAAGATTTCCCCATAATTAGCTGTTGTGAGCACATCAACCTAAGTATAAGTAGGGTAGGATAGGACGACCTTATTCAATGCTGAACAAGCAACAGCAAAATCAAATCGATGGTAATTGCACCAACCAAGTTCGTACAGCTTATTGTGTGAAATGTCTTAAAGGCCGTGAGTGTAACACATAAGGCAACTTAGAATGAAAAATTCAAAGTGAAACTGTAAGTGTACACGCTACACGGCCTAGAATACGACTTCTACAGGTGTATGTAAATCCCAGGCGAGAAGAGAGAAGCAAAACCGCACCTGATAGTCGTCGCCGAACTCCTGGGTGAAGGCAGCCTTGATGGCCTCGGCAGACGCGCGGTGACCGCCGCCCGTGTCGCTCATGAGGATCAGCACCTTCTTCGGCGCCTCGGCCCGCGCCGCGGCCTCCTCCTCCACCTCGCCTACCCCGTCCACATCCCCTCCTCCTCCCCCACCGCCGCCGGCGTTACCCCCGCCGCCGCCGCCGCCGCCGAGACCCAGGCCCAGGGACGCGAACCCGAGCGGCGCGATTTGGTTCCCGTGCAGCCGCACGAACCGCGCGAACTCGCCCCACATCTGGTGGAGCCGCGACGCCGCTGCTGAGGAAGTGGGGCCCGGCACGGAGATGGCGACGGAGAGCGCGCGGGGCCCCCCGCGCGGGCGCGGGAGGAAGGAGGCATGGTGGTGGGAGGAGGAGGAGGGCGCGGGGGAGGCGGAGAGTGCGGCGCCGGGGAGCGGTGTGGAGAGGAGCGGGGACGGGACGCGCAGGAGGAAGGCCGCCGGGAGCGCCGGCTCGGCGGTCGGCGCGGGCATCGCGACTGAGGCGGCGAGGAGAGGTCAGTCTCGTGGTCGTGGCATTCGAGTGCGGAGGGGCGCGATGGTGGTGGAGGTGGGGGAGAGGGAGAGGGGAAGGTGAGCCACACAGCCGGGAGGGGGTGCGCGTCGGTTTTGTTCGCGACGACGACGACGATGCGTTGGGTTGGGTCCGTGTCCGTGTCCGTGTCCGTGTCCGTGTCCACTGTCATCGTGTGGCTTCCCACCGGTCGGGGGCGGCCGTTGGGGTTGGCAAGGCGTGTGAAGTTGATGTGGGTTCCGGCGGCTCATGAGTCTTGAATCATGATGCCCAGCGAGGTCTTCGTTTTTCCCCATCGTGACCCGGCAAAAGATGGTCCCTCAAAGTGTATAAAGATTCTGCCTAACAACTCAAAGCAATGTGAAGTCAAAGTTCAAAAAAAAAATCAATGTGAAATCAGTAAAACTAACCGAGTCATGTTACATGTGACTTATTGGCTAATGGAGTATAATGTTTGTGAGAAAATTCGTATGCTATACATCAGCTTTTTCCATCACATGTAGGTGGCGGCCTTGTAAATAAATTTTATATACATGATGATAGCTTCCCTCAACAAATAGCAGGTGGGATGACGTATTCTTTGACAGGTCAATACACTGAACCAGGCACTAAGTTCAGCATCCTCCTCTCCAACTCCTCCCGAAGTTATAAAAAAAACAGCTAGTATAGCTGGTATTTTATTATTCCATTGACAAGTAATAATTGCACTATAATAACACACCGCACAAATGTTAGGGCCTGATGGATAATACTTTGTCTGAAGGTTCAAGCATAATGGGAAATCAATTGGAGATTAATTCAGTTTAGATAGAACGGATATTGTGTATATCTATTGTGAAATTGAGAAATGTGAAAGGCGATATACACGCCTGTGTGTGTCATGTCAAGTAGCGATCCACGCCATAAAATGATCGGTGTGGTGCTAGCAAATGTTTTGCAGCTCCACACTGTAACTGGCGTTGTTTTGGAGGACAAAACACTCTAACTTCGTCAATGTTCATCGAAACTATAACGGTAAAAAGCTGTGCACTTGAACGGGGTTAACCGGAGAAAATGGACGATTAGACAAAAACGGCTGGTTAGCGTGTAAATAGACTAAATAGACTATACGCCCGTGTATGGCAATACCAACCTTCACTGGGCCCTGAGCCCTGGACTCATGTTGTGATTTGTGAACGACACGGCCATGTATGTATGGCAACACCGACCTTCATTGGGCCTTGAGCCTTTGGACTCGTGTTATGGATCGTCTGCCATCTGTGAAGGCAAGAATTTCTAAAAAAGAACATGTGAAGGCAAGAATGGTGGGAGCGACGAACATTGGACCAGTCGACGAAAAAATAGGATTGGGTGAGGGACGATGGACCGATGCTCGACCTATGGCCCCGATTCTTTATCTTAAATTTGGCATTGTTCAACTTATTTTTTTATTTTAAGACGGTGTTTTTCTCTCAACAATTCAAATTAGGAGAACGGTGTTTTTCGGTCAAATTTGGTAAAGTTCGAGACAAGTGAACGGAGCCTATGTCTCGGTACCTGTCGAGGTATACATTTTGTCGTTGATGTAAAGCGAGAAAAGTTAGAGTGTGAAAAGAAAGAAGATGTGTAAAAGTGAGGAACAACAAACCTAATAATATACTTTACCATTAAGTATATGTATTCGCAGCTTGTCTTCCAAGCTTTGTGAAGTTTTCTTACTCATTTTTTGTTCTATTTCTCAAAGGGGTCATCATTTGTCTACACTTTTTTACCACTGAATTGAGACAGTAACATCGTAGAGCAAAGCTTTTTCGTACCTGTAACCGTAAAGTTGGTGACGCAAAAGCTTCTCTTGTGATTTAAATCTATTATCTCCTTGTGCAAGCGTCATGTACCCATCTGTGGACTCAAGACTGGGTAATAGCCCAAAGTTTATGGGCTAACTTTAAACGTTTTCTTTTGCTGGCACCCGCTTTGGATGGGCCACTGTCCCTATGGGCCTATCCTCTCACACTAGATAAGTAAGTATGATTCATGTGACATCCCTCAACTGTCATGAAAGGTTTTCCTCAGGAAAAAAAAACTGTCATGAAAGGTGAAAGTCCCATTTATCTCTTCCCCAGATTTTTGGAACCTAATATTTCATTATTTTAAAAAACTATTTGTACAATTTTTCGATAAAATCTAATTGACCCCTAAACTATTAACACAATCCAATTTAGCTCCTTGTAGCTAACGTGGTGCCACTTAGGACGTGTGACATTGTCCCACCTTAGCTAATCCGCTTTCAAAACCTCTCGAGGTAAATCGGACGGTTTAAAAAGTTGGGAGAGTTTAAAAACTGAATTTCTTATTGAAGAGACAAATCGAACATTTAAGAGAGGTCAGATAAACTTTTTTTCAAGATATGATGGTCATATTTTCTTATGTTACTTTAGGGAAAAAAGATGGAGCACAAGAGATAATGCGAGTTCATTTTATGAATGCATGTAACTCGTCGCAACCTTTATAAAATTGTTGAGTATTTAATGTTTGGTTTTAGGGCTACATGTCAGAGATGTCTTAATGTTTTTTTTGTCAAACAATACGTAAGACATTACGAAAATCTGCTAGCTCTAACGACAGAAGGTACAATACTCTCCGATCCAACTTATAAGGCGTATTCTTACATAACATGGTCTTCGAAAATTGCAAATTGACCATTTATTTACTTTATATTATATATTTATATTACTTATAATTATTGAATAATACATTTGACTATAGGTCTACTAGTATCAAGTTTGTATTACAATGACTTAAAACGTTAGCTAAATTATTTTTAGAAAAAAGGTATATTTCGGCCTTTGCAAAAGTTTTGCACACAACCATCCATTATTACAGCGATGTAGTCTTTAATCGAAAAAAAACTAAGCTAGCAAAAAGAAATAAAAATGTCAGAAACAAAAGAGAAATTTTTTTGGTTCAGATTATATTTATAAAGTTTAACTCTTGACCTACTTAAAATGCCTTATAAACTACGAAAGAGTACGTGATAAGTCAAAAATGGAGGAGTCCATATTCCTATTTTCCTTTTCTATATCTATACCTACCTAATAATAAAGAGGCAAAATTTCGCCAATTTTTTTCGCCTCTTCGATCCACTTACAAAGTCCCTGTAGGACTATCATCCGAGATCGGGCGCCTCTGTTCGTGGTTTGGGAAAAAGGATCAGAAAAAAGAAATATAAGAGAAGGAAGGGATCCCGGTGGAAAAGTGCAAGAGAGGAAGAAAATATGGGAGGATCTAAATTGAATTCGAGAAATTCAGGGATTCCTGATGTAAAAAGTGCAGCCCACGTTACAACTGCTGGGCTGGAACAAAACAAGAAGCAAAATTTCTGACGTATTATTTTTTTCTGCCCTCCCATATCTTTTTGTACGTTGGTTTTGTGCCTCCGTACAATCTGCATTCGCCGTTTCAAATTTTGATTTGTCTTCTGATCCTTCTTTGTTCTTCTATGTTATTTCCGTTTCTATCTATGGAAGTCTGATTTCTTTCCACATGTTCCTCGGCTCGGTTAGTTTTTAGATAAAAACAATGACAACGTGTATAGTCAGGTGCTCTCCTCTGTCCAACCAGCTTATGCGGCCACAACGTTCCAAGGCACAAAAACTTAGAGTGGAGATTTTAGGGGAAGAGAAATAAATTATTAGCGTCGTAAAAAAAGATTTATACTATTAATAATAAATCTATATCTATATCAAAATCTCACTCCATCCATTTTTTCAGTCTTTTCCTAACTAACTCAGTGAACATGGAGCTCAGCTTGGATATAAGTCCTTGAGATAACGTAGATAGTTAATTATGAATCCTAATTAAATAAATCCTTCTGATTTCCTAATAAATAAACATCAATATTTTTTCATAGTGTCCGTTTTCGTTTTCGCTCGTTCCATTGTTTGACCAGTCGTCAGATGTTTTTTTGTTTCTTTTAGCATTTTCCTTTCCGATTATGTTCTCCATTTGGTTTTGTTTCTTATTGTCGTCTGTCTTTTCTTTTCCTGTTTTTGCGTCTGTTTTTTTTTTTGTCCTGTCATTTATTTTCTTTCCATGTTTTTCACCTTCTTTTCTCGCAAAGTTTCCATCTGCTTCGAGTTTTCTTTCCATAGTTTTGTATTTTTTTCAAGTGTACCTCTCATTTTGATTTCTTACCTATGCTTTTATCTCTAATACTAAAATATCTGGTTATATTTCTTTTTTAATGAGTATCTTTATTTTGAACAAATATCTTCACCACTAATTTATTGCTTCCATTAAATCTTTTGCTGGAGTTACATTCGTGTATCTGCTTCGTAATCAATGTTTTTATCATCGGTTTTGTCTTTTGTGTCGGACGCAGATGGAACTTCGTTCGGCTCCCTCTCTTAGGTCCTAACATATTCCACCTCTAGAGTCTCATTAGCACGTGCGCAATAGATTGTCATATACCTATGACCCTATAAGAATGGTAGCCCTTAAGATCGAGGGCGCACGCGAGATCGATAACGATGAGGCAAGGCGGAAGATACATCAAGCATCTTGAAATTATGAGGACCAACTGTTGGAAAGACCGATAGTGGAGCAATCGATCGACCATCACGTGATCCAACTACTCCTTGTCATCTTGACCTCTATCAGCGGTTGCGTCATCTTGTACATCGATGGAACAATTAGATCTCCCATGCACGCCTGCGTTCTTCTCAATCGTTAAGGGCACGATGAAGAGTTGCACACTCGGTCAACCGTGACCGTCTAGATCTACACACACAAGGGTGCCGAGCCACCCCACTCATCGTTGCGCAGTGCTAGCCTATGTCTTCTCGATGGTTGGCATACCGCTGTCCTAGGTTGCCTAGTAGAGCATGATGACACTAGGTGCGCGTGCTGCCATGGCCATTAGGCCCACACACGGTGGTGCAGCTGCACTGGTGCCATCGACAACACAATATTTGTTTTCCTT